GTTAGCCAGGATGGTCTTGATCTCCTGACCTTGTGATCCGCCCGTCTCAGCCTCCCAAAGTGCTGGGATTACAGGCGTGAGCCACCGCGCCCAGCTTATCGTTCTAGATTTTAAGAGCATGCTTTTTGCTTTCCTTTCCCCTTTTGGGACTTTATTCTGCAGGACGGTTTGAAACACAGGCCGAACTTTTCTTTCAATCCAGTTGGATACACAGTTCTTCCCAAACCACTCATCTGAGATGCAACTTTCATCCTATACTAAATCCCCGTAGAAATGAGGACTCTGGCTCGTTGATCTTAGTCCATCCCTCTGCTGTTTTAGTTAGAATCGCTGTATTTTGATAACTGAGAGGCAAATCCCCTTTCACTGTTATTTTTTTTCCACAATGTTCTTGGCTATTCCTGGGCATTTTCTCTGCCAAATTAACTTCAGAATCACATTGCCAAGGTCTACCAGAAACCCCCATGGGATGCAAATTGTGACTGCAATGAATTTATGGCTTCACTGGAGGTGACCTGTTTCTCCCTCTGCTTTTGCTTATCTTCCCTCCCCTTCCACACACCCAGAGATGGACCCAGACCTGGCATGGTGGTCCTAGACTTGCTGGTCCTAGACTTACTGGTCAGTCCCAGGAGCAGCCTCAGAGGTCGGTGACCAGGGGCCTGGCCAGGGGCAAGATGAGGCCCTGAGGGGCCCTAGAGGCCTCTGGTCCAGTCCTTCCTTTTGACTGTGGCCGCCAGGCTCTGCTTGCCATCCTGGGCCTGGAGCTTTACCTGACCTGACCCTCCTCTGTGAAGCTGCCCATGAAGCAAGGATGTCCTTGGCAAACCTGCTGATTCTCTCTGCCCTCCCTCCAGCATCCCTACCATCAACCCAAATCTGACCCCGCCATTGTTCTTCAGACTTTTCCAGAGCTCAGCACTGCCACAGAAGGAAGCCCAGGCCCTCTAGCCTGGCATTCAAGGTTCTCCATGACCCAGTCCCTGCTTTCTTTCCAGTGAGAATGCAATCCTCAATCTTTTTTTTTGAGATGGAGTTTTGCTCTTGTCACCCAGGCTGGAGTGCAGTGGCACGATCTCTGCTCACTGCAACCTCCAGCTTCCGGGTTCAAGCGATTCTCCTGCCTCAGCCTCCCAAGTAGCTGGGATTATAGGCATGCACCACCATGCCTGGCTAATTTTTGTATTTTTAATAGAGATGGGGTTTTTCCACGTTGGCCAGGCTGGTCTCGAACTCCTGACCTCAGGGGATCCACCTGCTTCGGCCTCCCAAAGTGCTGGGATTACAGGCACGAGCCATCACACCTGGCCCAATCCTCAGCCTTTCAACATACTCCACCATTTCTGCATCTGTGTGTTGACTCCCTCTGCCCATGCTACCTTCACCAAAAGGTCTAATCTCACAGTCCCGCCTGCCCAGCGCAAATGCCACCTCCTCCAGGAAGGCTTCCCTGACCCCATGGATTTCAAGAGGCTGCTGTCTCTTTAGTGAGGACTCTCAGCACTTTTTCTGCACCTCTTGAAGGCTCTGAGCACAGGTGCTCCTGTCAAATCTTCCTACCCCGAAGCCTGGGTGCTCCCAAGGACAGAGCTATCCTGAAAGCTCCCTGGAGACAGATCATGCTCTCCCCTTCTTCCTTCATCTTTCTCTACAGCAGTCATCATGTGATTGCCACTGTCTGCTTGAATATGCCTCGAGATGGGAAACTCACTACCTAACAAGGCAACGGTCTCATCTCTGGAAGGAGGAACAGAAACAATGACTCGCCGGGCACTCGACCTGTTCCAGGGTCTGGACCTTCACAGCTCAGCTGCTTCTCATGGGAAACCTTCAAGTTGGGAAGTATTATCCCCATTTTAAAGATGAGGAAACTGAGGCTCAGAGAGATTAAGAGTACGTTCTTCCAGGTCACAAAGCTAAGTAGGCAACAAAGTTGGGATATTCAAGCCCAGGCCTGTGGGAGCTAAATGAGAAGACTCTTGTTTGTGTTGAATTGATGTTTGCTTCTCTGGGATGTCGACCCAAGAAGTTAGCTGGTCATCAGACCAAGTACAAACTGAGCAAGAACCAGAGAGGGGTAGTGACTCCCCCAGGGTCACAAAGCCAGGTAATGGCAGAGCTAGGACTAGGACGCAAGGCCCTCACTCCTAGGCCAGACTTGTTCTTTGCATCCATCCCAAATCAGAGGGCCACTCAGGAGGAGTCAGGAGGCCACATGGGCTGGAAGGTTCTCAGTTCAGAGGCCAGTGTGGGGAAGGCCCCAGCTACAGGACTGGTTTACAAAAGTACCCGAAGGCCACCTCATCCTTCTGCACCGGGAAGACAGTGGGGTTCAAGCAGAGGAGCTGGAAGCCCCGGGCTGGATTAACACCAGCCAGTAAGACTAGCCACTCGCCGGAGGGAGCAGGACACCGGTCGGGGGAGAAGCCTGGGCGGGCCTCACCTGCTGGGGAATGAAGGAGCTGGAGAAGGTGACGGCCGACCAGAAGAAAATGCCACAGCTGAGAATCACCTTCCTGTTGAAGCGGTCGCCCAGGTAGCCGAAGATGGGGGCAGCCACCATGAAGCTACAGATGAACACTGCAGGGAGACGAGAGCTTGAGGGCCAGCCCAGGTCCCTGCACCCCAGCCTCCCGGCCCATTTCACGCCAGCTCGAGGCCAAGCGTCTGTGCAGCAAAGGGACCAAGGAAGCAGCCCAGAGAGGCAACTTCAGCCCGAGCTGCAGCTCAGGAAGGTGGGAAAGGCCTTACGAGGTCAGGCACGTCCATGACGCCATCCTCCCCCATGTATGTCCAGTTCGCCCAGTTTGTCCAGGTTTGGGTGAGCCCTTTGGGTACTTTTTAAAAGAGCAAAGATCTATTTATTGAATGTTTTCTACACGCCAGACACTATGCTAGGGACTTACCATGTCGTATCTCACTTATCTTTTTAAAATTTTTATTGTTTTCAGACAGGGTCTTGCTGTGTCACCCAGGCTGGAGTGCAGTAGCATAATCTTGGCTCACTGCAACCTCCATCTCCTGGGTTCAAGCGATTCTTATACCTCAGCCTCCTGAGTAGCTGGCATTACAGGCATGGGCCACCACGCTTGGCGGATCTTTGTATTTTACTAGAGATGGGGTTTTGCCATGTTGGCCAGGCTGGTCTCCAACTCCTGGGCTCAAGTGATCCACCCACTTCAGCCTCCCAAAGTGCTGGGATTACAGGTGTGAGCCACTGTGCCCAGCTATATCTCATGTATCTTTGTATCTCATGTATCACGTACCTTTCCAGCCCCCTCCCACCCCACAGATATGGAGACACACTCAGAGGAAGAGTGACTTGCCCAAGCCCCCCCAGGCAATATGTTCCAGTGGGGATCTGACCCCAGTTGCCTGACTCCAGAGCCTGTGTTCCTTATAGGTTACCACACTGCACTTCTTATTCTACTTGAGAACAGAGGTCAGAGAGGGGAAGGGATCTACGCAAGGTCACACAGCAAATCAGGGCAGAACTGGGCCTGGAACTCCCAATTTCACACCTGCCAGACCACACAGCTGCCCTCACTCCCAGCGCACTGCAGGGCCTTTCCTAATGGCTGAAAACACTGTCATCCATCTGTCCATCCTTCCATCCTGTCATTCAACAACAACAATTTTTTTGTACCTACAAGGCACCAGGAACCGTTTTAGGTGTTCGGGATACATCAATGAACAAGAGAGACCCCATGGAGCTTTCACTCGAGTGAGGAGAAGCAGACATTAAAGAAATAAACAAATCGATAACACAGCCTGTCAGATGGTGGGAGGGGCTGACACAGGAGCTTGGAAGGGTGTGTGTGAGAGCAAGTGGATGCCACAATTTTACATTTTTTGAAACAAGAGTCTCACTGTATCACCCAGGCTGGAGTGCAATGGCACAATCTCGGCTCACTGCAACCTCCGCCTCCTGGATTCAAGTGATTCTTCCGCCTCAGCCTCACGAGTAGCTGGGATTACAGTCATGTGCCACCGTGCTCTGCTAATTTCTGTATTTTTAGTAGAGACGGGGTTTCACCATGTTGGCCAGGCTGGTCTCCAACTCCTGACCTCAGGTGATCTGCCTGCCTCGGCCTCCCAAAGTGCTGGGACTACAGGCGTGAGCCACCATGCCTGGCTGAGAGAAATTGATTGATACAGGTAGCTTAGCTGGTGTTTTGTTTGTGAGACGGCGTCTTGCTCTGCTGCCCAGGCTGCTGGAGTGCAGTGGCGCAATCTCCGCTCACTGCAACCTCTGCCTCCCAGGTTCAAGCAATTCTCCTGCCTCAGCCTCTTGAGCAGCTAGGATTACAGGAACCTGCCACCATGCCCAGATAATTTTTGTATTTTTAGTACAGACGGGGTTTCTCCATGTTGGCCAGCCTGGTCTCGAACTCCTGACCTCAAGTGATCTACCTGCCTTGGCCTCCCAAAGTGCTGGGATTACAGGCGTGAGCCACTGCACGCGGCCACCACAATTTTAAATAGAGCAGTCAGGGAAGGGGATATTTCAGCCAGGACCTGGAGGAGGTAAGGAAACAAATCATGCAATTATTGGGGCAAGAACAGCAAGTGCGTATGCCCTGGGGCAGCAGTTTACTTAGCATGTCGGAGGAACAGGAAAGAGGCTGGGGTGGGGCCCCGGAGCCCACTGTGATGACTCTGACGTCCATGGGTGAGAAAGGAAAACATGAGGGGATGCTGAGCAAAGGCCGTGACCTGGCTTTGTTCTTCCAGAACAAGAGGTTTGGAAGACTCCACAGGGAGGCCACTGCCAGTGATGGGAGGGGCCTGGGAGGTCCCAGGTGGGATGAAGAGGCCCAGAGCAAGGCAGGGTAGACCCTAGGTCACACAGCGAGGTGGCCCCCCCATTCCTCCCCCTAGAAAACAGTCCCATAGCTGATGGGCAGATGGCCAAAGGCTGGGAGCGGCAGACATGGCAGCCAGTTGGCCTCTGACCGCCAGGCTGAATGTGTGCGTAGCCCCGGCTGCTCCTCCATGGGCCTGAGACCCTGGCGAGATGGGACCTGAGAGAAGAGAAAGAGGGAGGGAGGGAGGAGGAAAAGAGAGAGGTGAAGGAGAGGTGAGAGGGCTGGGCAGAGCTCCCCTGAACCTGGCTGGAGGAGTGACTACCCCTCTCTCACGCGAGCAAGAACAGGTCAGCGAGTGTGCATGGGTGGTGGGTGTACAAGCAGACCTGTTAATTCCAGAGGCCTTGGGTAGAATCAGCACGCGGGTACATAAATCCGGGCATGAGACACACACCCTGGGCTCAAATTCACCTCTGCTCCCTCCCGGCCAGTGACCTCAGTCAGGCCACAGCCTTTCTGTGTCTCACCTTCAGTGGTGTGCTGATAAATGTTTAACCGGCTCTGAAAAAGGGGCAAGGGGAGCCCTGATGTAGCATGTTTGCTTTTTTTTTTTTTGAGATGCAGTTCTGCTCTTGTCGCCAGGCTGAAGTGCCGTGGCGCCATCTCAGCTCACTGCAACCTCCTCCTCCCAGGTTCAAGCGATTCTCTTGCCTCAGCTTCCTGAGTAGCTGGGATTATAGGTGCCTGCCACCACGCCCGGCTAATTTTTGTATTTTTAGTAGAGACGGGGTTTTGCCATGTTGGCCAGGCTGGTCTCAAACACCCTGACCTCAGGTGATCCTCCTGCCTCAGCCTCCCAAAGTGCTGGGATGACAGGCGTGAGCCACTGCGCCCGGCTGTGTTTGCTCATTTCTGTGGTGTAAACGCTCCGCCCTGGCTGAGTTCAGGCTGCCCACATCATGTCACTGATGGGCGTTGGAAAGGGATGTGCAGAAACATGCCATTGTCCAGTGTTTCTACCACACAAATAGAATAGACACCACTCACCATAGGAACACAGATAACGCCTAAACACAGCCAAATAATTAGGAAGTGAGGACTTTTGAGTAGTTATTACCTTTGTTTCTGATTATTTAATTGTAAGCTGATATCATTTAGTTTTTAACAATGGTTGTATTTTACGACCAGCTCACACACCATTCCTGAAATGTTAACAATTGACTCTCATGAGCCGGCCTGAGCCAGCGCCAACATCCTCGTCTGTAAAATGAAGATAAAAATAGCCGCTCTCCAGGGTGGGTCTGGGTGCTGGATGGCACGTGCAAGGTGCTTAATGCCACACCCTGCCCAAAGCGGGCCGGCCTTGGTCAACACTGGGCCCTTGTTTAAATTAGTCAAGGCAGAAATTATTTCCTCACATCTAGAAAAGGAATTTTTCCTGCTGGGCCTGCCTCCAAGGGCCTGCCCGAGATCAGATCAGAACGTGGCAGGAGGGAGATTTCCAGTTGCATCAGGACTGACACATGTGAGGAGGAGGAGGAATTGTTTTCTCTGTGCTTGTCCGTGCTAGGTGGGGAGCCGAGAGAAAGAATCAGAAGAGAAGTTGCCCCGTCTGGTCAGCGGCAGATCCTGTTCATAGGTTGCTCTGTTTAAAGGACAACCTATGCTGGGGAACCACCAAGGAGCTCCAGATCCTGCCAGGATAATGAAGAGAGGCTTCCTGGAGGTGGTGGCGTCAAAGCTGGGCACTGAAGCATGCATAGAAGTGTACTGTTACGATAATACTTAACATCAATAATGCACACTGAAATATAAACTTCAGGTCTTACCAGCAATCTTATATAATGGCTCATGAGGCATCTGATGCTTAGTGTTCATAATAACTGCAGTCAGTTATCATGGAGCACTTATTATAGGCAAGGCCCAGGATACAGACTTGACATATGCACAGATGATCTCACTGGATTCTCTTCTCTTCATTTTACAGAGGAGACAATAGAGGCCAAAAGAAGTGATGTCACACAGCCAGTGTACGGCTGAGCCAGAATTTAAACCCCAATTTGGCAGACTCCAGAGTCCTTGCTCTAAATCACTCCACAGACTGCCATGCTGGGAAGGGGGAAGGTCCCAGCTGATGTTCCCAAGGTCAGGGAAAGTTCAGGGCCTGTTGAGGACAGCAAGGAGACAGGTCAGGCCATGGCCTGAGGATGCTGAAGAGGAAGTAGTGAGAGACCAGGCTGTGGAGGGAGGACTGGGCTCAAGACCAGGACGGGATTTGATGTTTAGAAGGTGACAGAGAACCACAGCGCGTTCTCTACTCCGCCCCCCAACACCATGGTGGGACCCTTGAAAAAGCCCCCTCCCCAGGGGGATGAAGAAGAGCTGGAGGGAGGTGACCCAGACCTTCGCCAGAGCCTGGCCATCATACTCCATTCTCCCCTCTTGCCCGCAGTGGAGCAGGAAGCACAGCCCCCTCCTAGCTCTTTCAACCCCTCCTTGGTTTCCGGCTGCTCACTCAGATGGGCAGAAGCCCCCAGGACTGCAGGTGGACTGCCTGGCAGATGCTGGCACGTCCCATCCCCACCCAGCGGCCCCAGTCTGATGAACTTGCCCAAGCACCTACGTGCCCTTAGCTCACCTGATCCTCCCCACGTCCACCCCCATCTTACAGCTGGGGTCACTGAGGCCCCAAGAGGTGGAGGAAGTTGCCCGAGATGACAGACCAAATTAGGAAGGCACAGTCTGGACCTGCCTGCCCCTCAGTGCCTTCCC